CTCTCTCTCTCTCTCTCTCTCTCTCTCTCTCTCTCTCTCTCTCTCTCTCTCTCTCTCTCTCTCTCTCTCTCTCTCTCTCTCTCTCGAATATATATATGTATTCAAGAGTAATGAATGGGTATCTTTCATGAAGCGAGATCATTGGATATTTCTATTTAAAGTATTATAAAATTTATCTTCCACATATAATATATTATTTTTTACTCACATATATAAAGGGGCAAAAGAAATATGTAGACAGAGACAAATAAGTTCGTCCTTTAAGTTTTTAAATATAAGAATACTCTCAAGAAAAAAAGAAAATAAAAATTTGATTGATTGAAAATTTGGATCTTCCTAAACTGTTGAAGTTTTTCGTTAGTAGCCAGAATATTTAAAACAGTAAGATTGTTGTTCGTTAATAGAGATTCAACCTAAGTTTTGTCTGTCATATCATCATAAAGTAGTAACCTGAACCTGGAGGAGGGTACATACTCAAACAAAAATGCTGAATTATGTAAGTTTTATAAGTTTTTAGATGATTTTAGAAAGAAATTAGAAAGGAAGTAGTCACTTTTATCTATCTAAAAGATGAAAGTAGTCCCATCTCATTTTGTAGTATTGTAAAATTCCGTACGCACACAATATATATAGAAAGCAACGCCAGTTCAAAAGTGGACTATACATTATATATAGTGGAAGATGGATAAAACATAAAAGTACGTACTCAATGTATGTGTGTGTACTCACATTTTTGGTAAGGATAAAAAACAATATGCAATGAGTCTGTTTATCCCATCGAAAGAAAACCCTCATGATATAGTGGTAAAGACCCAAAATGGTAATGATAGTAAAAAGTATGGGAAACTTAAATTGTCTAGTTACTGTCTTCGTGTCCGTGGGGTACGCGGCACTTGGTGTGTTATGGTATTGGTGCCTTTACACTGCCTGGTCCAAATTTAAATTGCTGACAATTCCTTAATTCACGTTGACACACGCGGCTTCGTGTTGTTGAAAAGGGTCCCTTCCCTGCCAAATAACACTGTCGTAACGTTGAGGCTTCAATGCATATTTTCCAATGTGCATTGAAGTTTTCTATTTAGTGTGTGATCTCAATAATTGCTCTCTTTTATTTTTATTTTTCTCTCAGACATAAATAAAATAATTAATGTTACTGAAAGCGATGAGCTGTTGTTCTTTTACGATCAGCTAAAGCTATACGACACAAAACAATGATCGTACGTGGTTCACTGGTTCTAACGTTATCAGATTTCTTTCTCGATCTATATCATCTAATCCACGGGTTTTAGATATTCTGATCCAATGTTTTCTAGACAGACTCTAGAGAACATGTAACCAAATAAAATATTACACTTACGGAAAATTTGGAACCTCCGAATTGTTATCCGCTAAATTTGTCTTTTGATTATTCCGATTTTATTGCCTTTTAATTTTACTTCATAATTTTATATTTGTTCATATCAATACCTAAATCAGTTCAAAAAATGAAACTCAAAGTAATGTTAATACTTAATGAATCCAATTACTTATTATACCAATTCTTTGCTCATCTAAGTGGATATATGACAAGAAAGAAGCATTGATTATGTTTACTCTAATTTACCTTAAATCCAAAACTCATTTTATTGAATTTAAATCATTAACAACTTACTAAATAAGAATAAACATGTACTAATTCAAGTTTTTTTAAAAATTGTGTGAAATATGTCAAAATAATAATTTTTGTGAAACATAAAGTGTATTTCATATTTGTATGTACATTTTATGTCAAATAGAATTTTTTGCATAAATATTAATATATTAATATGTTTATATAGATGGTATTGTCATATACCTCTAATTATTTTAAGCTAAAATATTCCTTCTAAAGTTTTTTTTGTCATCGACTATTTATATTTTGGACATAAGCAAATAGTCCTTTTGGACGATGAAGAATAGAGCCATGTGGAATAAGATCGACCGGCCATGGATCTGAAAGTTCCAGCAGCATGAGACTTGTGGAGATGGTGACGATATGATGTCAACTTCCCCGTTGGCCCGTGGATGGTTACTTAATTCTGTCCGTTGATTGCCAAAACGGTATGATATATACAGTTAATATTACTACACTATATATATTACAGTAGTATATTATATATATAGTGTATACAGTTTGTTAACTTAGCTTACCTTATTGGTATATAAACATCATGAGATGCAAATTTTATCTAAGTTAATGAGGAAATATCCTTATTTTATTTTTGCTAACTTCATGATAATGAAGGGAGCAAATTTACACACATATATTAATTCAGTACCTATAACATTGTTGGACAAAAAGTGGGGTTTAGTGAAGAAACCTATTTGAGGTCAATTACGTTCAACGTTACACTCTCTATAAATTTCTCTATTTCTTATTTTGATGGGGACAAACCAAATGTCATAGTAGTCAAATGGCTAGAGTTTGGTTTGGTTTGGAAAAAAATAAAAAAAAAATTGGGCGGACATGGATGGAAAATAGATTTATGTTGTGTGAAATCAAACAACACACACCCAATCAGAAAATACGTACGTACACACAATTTACTTTAATGATCAAGTACATATATATGATTCAATGGATGGATCATTCGTCGAGAAAGCACATAAACATACATATCCAACTATTGAAAAGTTCAAGTGAATGTCGACATAAATTGAATAACAATGGAACTGACTTTAGGAATTCAAGTTTCTTTTTTTTTTTTTTTTTTTTCACTAAATTTGATCACTAAACAACAGAACTCTAGTCTCTATTGGGTTAGGACCCAACAGTATAAGCCCATTAAATAACTGGAGAGATCCGACTTATTTTTTTTGTTTTCCTCCTTTTGAAGAGAAAAATCCAAAATCAGGGGACAAAGAAGAAGAGCGAACCCTAATTTACGATCATGGCACCGAACAACAATATGAGAAGCGTAATCACGCAGGTAAAAATCGAAGAGATTGCATCATGATTCTTTATTATGGCTCCTATCTTAATTTGTGCGATATATCTCTACTGAACAAGACGGAAACATTTACAGTGGCGCAATTTCTCTACGAGGTCTCGCCGCGGCAGCAAGCGTAGTAGCAACAATGGTAACGAATTCTTCTTTGTGAGTATATAGTCTTGGATCATTGAGGGAGTTTCGATATATAATAGCACCCACCCACCCTAGATAAATTTGTGATTCTTCTTTTCAATTCCAGTGTCGTCGAAAGATGCCGGAAGGAGAGTTGGTTCTAAGTATCGTGTTTTTATGTCATCAGTTGCCTATGGATATGTTGCTTTCGGTTGTTGGGGTAATGTTTGAGATTAATTTTTTTTAGTATTATATCTATTTTTTTTTAGATTTCTCGATTATTTTTTAATAGAGATTGAGAAAAGAAGAAAAAAAAACAAATTCGTGATTCCTTCTTTGATCATAACACATTCAGCAACCATTGAGATGCTAGAATATCGTCGAACTGTCGTGAGGGATCTGGAACAACGTGGTAGTAGCGCAACGGTATGGAATTTATTAATCTTATGATCTTAATTAACATTTTCCGATAACAATTTTTTTAAAAAAATCTAACTTTTGTTTGTTCTCTGATTTCAGACGATTTTGGGTGATCTGCGTGATTGGCTCCTCGAATAGAATACAGAAGAATTCCGTGTTTAGGTTATGTTATAACATGCATATGCATGCCGTCGTTCTTATAGAAAACATATGTACGTACAATAGGATACGATTTTATTATTAAAAAAAAAACATAAAGATGAATATCAAAAGACGAATAAACCGTTTGCAAGTTTTAAATTCTTCGAACCGATAGTTTGCAAAACCGTAAGGCCCAACAGTATAGGCGGCCCATGTGACCACAAAACTCACGAGACGTACGTTTTTACTCATTCTGAAGAGCAGAAGAGGAAATCACAAATCAGCGACGAAGAAGAGCGAACCCTAATTTCCCGATCATGTCTCGGAATAGGAACTCGAGATCAGTGTTGTCGAAGGGAGCTATGTTCTTACTTCAAGGCACAGGAGCCACTCTGGGATGTATCTTAGGTATAATTAAAGACACCAAAGATTTCTACGATCGATTTTATTCCTTACATCGACGAATCTAAATTTTTAATCAGTTTTGTTTGTTTGTTTGTTTGTGTCACTGTGTGTGTGCATTAAGGTTATTATTGTTATGGAGGTAAAATAGATAAATACGAGAAGCAGCGACAACAGGTAAGCATGGAATACTTTCAACTTAATAAAAAAAAAAGAAGCAATTGAATAATGCATGATTTCATCTCTCTTTGTTTTCAGATCGTGATGGATGTTTTTAGGGATCCTGCTGAAGTGGAGGATCTAAGGGAAAAGATGTGGCCTGAATTAAGGAAGATAACGTGGTTTAGAAATATGGAAAAGAATTGGTCTGAGTCTGATCTAAAGAAGAATATGGAATTGGTGGATTCTGATGTAAGGAAGAATGTGAAAACCGTGTGTGCTAAGCTAATTGATGAAAAGATGTGGTCTGATGTATGGCAAAAGATGTTTTCTGATCGAAAATCCTAATTATCACCAGTTTTTACTGTCGCTTAACTCTCATTCTACATTGACAATTTTAATATAACGACACACATTTCTGTCATTTGAATGTAAATTATAACATCAAATGTTGGCATTCCTCAAATTAATCGACATTTACAACAACTATAATTCTATAAATAATCATAATCGTCGTCCATCTTTTGTAAGGTGTAACAAGCAATGAGTGCTGTGCTGTATAACTGTATTCATGTGGGAACTAGTTGATATAAAGAGAGTTGAACTGCTGTCGAAAATAAACGGAATTGTTGTAAAAGTTCTCGGACGATCGATCAGAACAACAACAAAATAGTAAGAATTTTCGCTAGTTTACATTCGTTGATGTAATCAATCCAATATAGAGTACGTTATATGCATGCTACTCGGACCGTATATATAAAATTTTGTTAAAGGTGCGTAATCGGTAAGGTGTAGAAATTATCTAACGAGTGAATATAAAGTAATGTGGTTACGAAAGACGCATGATTTTACAACCAGAGTTTGTGTCAAGTTTCTTTCTATGCTTCTCTCTTGTAATAAAAAACAAGATTTTCAAACCGGTTTATATATTTATAAATAACTCAATAAAGTAGAAGCAATAATTTATGCAACTAGTCTGGATTAGCACCAAAGACAAACATACAACTCCCACAAAGTAAGAGACATTTGGGAATAACATATGCAAAAAGGTTGAGAATGCTTTTGGACAACTAACCAAAGTCTCTAAAAGCTATTTTTCTGGTGTATTAATATTTATGTATCCGTTTATTTTGGAGAAATTTCTTTGGATACCATCATTTTTAGATTTTTTCCCCAAAAATACCACAAAAGTTTTATTTTTCCAAAATACCATAAACATAAAAAATTGATTTTTGAAAATGTAGAATTTTTTTAATGTTTTGGTTGACTATTTATATTTAAGATATAGTTTTTAGGAGTAGGATTTAATGTTTATGATTTAGAAATTAGTTTTGAATGTTATAAAAAAATAGTGTTACTTTTGTAGTATTTTTGGAAAACAATATATTTGATTGGTATTTTTTCAAAAACAAAACTTATAATGGTACTTTTGATAAGATGCCTATTTTGATTGTATTTAAAACAACTCCCTTTTATTTTGCGACTAAAAAATTAACACATAAGAATTTTATCAGTTCAGCTAAAAATGAAATTCTCGTTTAGTCATTCCATAATCCATTATTTGCTAGATTAAAAGTCAAAACTGGCAAAACTGTAATGGCAAAATCGCGGATCAATAATATTTGCCACATATAATATAATCAAATCTGCATATATAAAATGTGTTATCAGAAAAATAACATAATAATCGTAATATCGAGTTATCGACTAGCAAAATTCATGTCATTAAAAAAAGAACACATGATAAATACTTGATTTAGTGATATTGATATTCATTTATACAAACAAGATGGAAGATATTGGGTATCTTGTACCAATCAATCTAGCAAATTAGGTTATACATACCACACGTGTGAGCAAAGTTTTATATATCGGATGCGTCGATGCAAGTTACATATATGTTTTGACAAATACTACACTTCTCTAGTAAATTATAAGTCGCTCTGCCTCTTCCAAAGTCACATCCATATATCTTTCAAATGGCTTCCTCTTCAGCTCACCTCAACCACCACCAACCATCGAACAAGCTCGGTGGAGCCACGGCGGCGCCTCCACCAACTCCATCATGCTCACATCTCAACACCACCGGCAAATCGGATACAGCAGTCGACGCTCTCTCCAGCCTTTTCCACCGTCTCCCTCCTAATTTGCTTTCACTCCCCAACCGCCGCTTCTCCAACGCTCCAGCATCTTCCGACGATGCCCCCGCAGCCTCCGTCGCTTCTCTTCCGATGGTATCCCTCTCCGCCGGTGATAGACGTAGCTGGGACGATCTTATCTCCGCCGCTACTGATTTTGGATATTTCCAACTCACTATGGATGACTCCAATACTGTCATCCCTTCTGGTCTCGCTGAAGCGGCCGAGTCTGACTCGCTCTCGCTCTTAGAGCTCAGTGAAGAGAAAAAGGAAACGTCGTTTCTAAAAAACTGGCCGATGGGCTACGAAGCCGACGCAGAAACGCCGTCGTTTTGCCTTGACGTCGACTGTTCGACGGAGGCGAGTGAGTTGAAGCTGAGTTCTCTCCGCGAGTTCACTCGGACTCTAGAGAAAGTTGGACATAAGACGGTAGAGATGCTGGCTAGCGCACTCGGGTTCGGATATGACTCGACCCGGTTTAATACTCTGATGTGGCTTAACCAAGGTGTTTCTGATGATGAACCGGAGATAACCAACGGGTTTTATCCTTTTGTTGTCTGTTTACAGTATCAGGTTAGGGAGAACAAGTATTGCTTGCTGACCGAGTCTGGCTGGGTGTCCGTTTTGCCCAGAGTTGACTCGATTCTTGTGACGTTAGGTGACATTTCTCAGGTTAGTTCTCTTTTATTTTCATTTTTATTAGTAGTACTAAACTGCTAGTTGTCTTCTTAATTATAAAAAAAGCTTTAAACAATGATCACATTATCATCTTTCTGATGGAACAGAGCTTTGTTCCACTATGGCGTTAATTCGCTGGCTTAATCATTTATTTATCTAAATAGAAAATACATGTCCATATCAAAATAAATATATTCTCACGCATTGATCAAAAAGAGAACAAGGATTTGCATATTTCCGATATTTCTTGTTGACAACAACAACAAAAATTGTGGAGGGAGGAGCGGGAGAAAATTTTATAAAGGGTAATGTGTTTTTAGGTCAAAAACCTGTATTGGGAAAGAAAATAGGACTTTGGGAATTTCGGATATTTACATAGTATAATTTCTCTTTTAAGTCAAAACCACTATATACAAAGCTCTTTATGATATACTTTAGCCTTAGATAGTTTCAAGTTTTTTGACAAACTAATAAACAACTTAAATTTTGTAGGTTTGGAGAAACGGAGAGGTCAAAAGAGTGAGATATCGACCGGTGTTGTGTTCGGGACAAAACGACGACGGTCCAACGAAGTGTGTAACAATGACATTGATGCTTACACTTCCCATGGACGCTATGGTTTCTCCATTGAAAGATTTGATCAGTGACGGCGACAAAGAAGAAGAGTATGCAGGTAGAGGAGCAAGAAGTGATGAGAAGAAGGCATTTAAGTCTTTTGGTTTCGAGGAGTACGCTTGGAGAGTGTACCATGAACGTCTCTTCTTCAGGGATCCACTTGACAAATACCGAATCAAATCTTATAAAGATTGAAGAACTGATGTTTGATTTGTTTGTTTCCTGAGTTAAGTTGGTACTAGATTCGAGTCTTGTTTCCTGATTTGTTTGATTTGTTTGTTACTAGAGTCGAGTCTTGTTTGATACCGAATCTTTGTTGTTTTTTCAAGGGTTATTAGCATTTTGGCATTGGGATATGTTTGTTTTTGTTCGATTCAAATCAGAATATGCTCCATTTTGATTATTACTCTTACTATAAAAGGAAAAGATTTAGACCCGATCTATCACAGGAATGTTGGCTATGTTTTTTGTAATAATCAAGGTGTGACTCATTCTGGTGTTAATCTTTTTATTTTCCAGGGATGAAATACATCGAAAATTGATGAAACTACAAATAATACTTTCACTAAACATATGATTTAGTCCTATACTCTTGTTCTGGACTTGGGTTGATAGCATGTTTGATTGTCAGAATTGATTATTTTTGGACAGAATTAGATATGATATTAATGTAGGTATCCATTCTCTAACTCTAACTCGATAATAACTATTGTAAATTTTTATATATCTTCAATCTGAAGGACTAACTTGATTTCATAATCAAAGGTATGATGAGAAATTTGATTGTCCTTTTTTTTTTGGTAGGAGAAATTTGATTGTCATTGTTGTTTTCATTATCATCAATAACCAATTTTTTTTAGAAAAACTTCGTTCCTGTTTTTTATCTTGATTTTTTATTTATTTATTGTAGAAAATTTTCAGATGAAATAATTTCGACATGCAAACATTCTTTTTATGAAATCAAAATATGAAATACGAATTGACCATTGCTCAAAACATACGCATAAAATTCCCAAAAGTACTGTTTCGTGACAAAACCCGACCCGTTGATATACGCGGTTTAAAAACTCGACCCGACAACGATCCGGGCAAAAGCACATCGTACAGCTCAGGCACTGTTGTAGCAGCACGTCGTCTCCTTTTTGGGTTCTCCTCTCCACCCTTATATTGGACGAGTGACTCCGATTGGATCGCTGTTTCGTCATTTCTCACCACTTTCGAAAGGGAATACAAAAAAAAAAAGAATCTATATCCTCCACCATCAGCTGTATTCCCTCACTTGCCTCAGATCTGGCTGCGATTTCAAATCTTCTTTAGTTTCTCTCGCACCGCTACTCTCTCTCCTGGCCGTTGACGGTTCCGTCCCGGCCGTGGATCTGATTTTGGCCCCGGATTCTCTTCCCGCGATCTGAGGTCAAACATGGCCGCGGCTAACGCCCCCATCATTATGAAGGAGGTCCTAACGGTGAGTTCTCTTCCTTTTGTAAATCGAGCTGAAATTTTGGACGAATAACATGTTTCTGCAGTTGTAGTCTCTGATTTCTAACGATTTGGTTTCTGCTCACACTATTATTTGATTGATTCCAGCTTCGTCTGTTCTGAATTCTACTAGATCGTTGCGGTTTAGTTAGTTTATAATTCCTCTGACAAGATTTTCTCTACGTACGCTCAGATCTGTGTTAGCTGAATGTATCTAGCCCGTATTTCAAAGTTATTGTGTTCTGCAGTGTGCTTTTATACGGATCTTGTAACTAAGTTAATGAAGTATCCCAATTAACGTTTGTGTTTTGGAATATCACCAGCTTCCGAGCATTGGGATCAACCAACAATTCATCACTTTTACAAATGTTACTATGGAGTCTGACAAGTACATATGTGTACGGGAGACGGCACCGCAGAACAGTGTTGTTATTATCGATATGAATATGCCGATGCAGCCTTTAAGGAGACCTATAACTGCTGATTCTGCGCTCATGAACCCAAACTCGAGGATCCTTGCCTTAAAAGGTATATAACTGTTTCCTCCTATCGAAAGAAACTTGTTTCGTATTATCACTTATAACACCCGTTAGAGTTTCCTATTGAAGTGTTCTATCAGTTATAACACTCATAAGGGTTTCCTATTGAAGTTTTTTTCCTATTGAAGTTTTCTCCAGAACTACCGTTGATAACTTCTACTTCATTTCTGTTAACTACATATGCTATTTATTAAGAATAGGGTGTTTTTGAGTTATTTGAAGTTCAAATGACGCTTTCCATGTTCTGATGCATCACTTATAGAAGATTGATTTATCAAATCAGTGTGGAAAAGTAACTACACTCATAGAGCTTCTGATTTAGTCCTATACTCTTGTTCTGGACTTGGGTTGATAGCATGTTTAATGTTCTAGAAAACATTATATTTCTCGTGGTAGTGTGTCTCAAGCTTAGTGTAGTTAAAACTAGAATTTTTAGTTGAGTGTGGATATTTCCTTATATTGGCTATTACTTATTTCTTTCTTACTTTGCTGCTCACTTCTTTCTTAAATTCGTATATAGCTCAAGTTCCAGGAACTACTCAGGATCATCTACAGATATTTAACATTGAAGCAAAAGCAAAGTTGAAATCACATCAGATGCCTGAGCAGGTGAGTTGTAACCCAATTATCTTTCACGTTGTACACTTTATACATTCTCTGATTTTACTGGTCTGAATTTTATTTTAGATATTAATCACCTGTGTTTTATAGGTTGCTTTTTGGAAGTGGATCACACCAAAGATGCTGGGGCTGGTCACACAAACTTCTGTGTACCATTGGTCGATTGAAGGTTTTGTATCTTTAACTTACTACCATCTTCTTCATATGATGTATATGTTGTTTCATTTTTGCTCCGATATTTCCAGGTGATGCTGAGCCAGTTAAGATGTTTGATAGAACGGCCAATTTGGCAAACAATCAAATTATAAACTATAAGTGCTCTCCTAATGAGAAGTGGCTGGTCTTGATTGGAATTGCTCCTGGCTCTCCTGAGGTAGGTTTCCTGCACCACATATTAGGTTGAATTAAGACATCATAACAGCTGTCATGTTGTGAAGTTTTGACTGGATCTTTTCATTATTATCTTCTGTAGAGACCACAATTGGTAAAAGGAAACATGCAGCTTTTCTCTGTGGATCAACAACGGAGCCAGGCCCTTGAAGCACATGCTGCGTCATTTGCTCAGTTTAAGGTAATTATGTGGTTCTATTGTTAGTTTATTACATGGTGATCTTGAACTATAGTTTGACAAGCAACGTTATTAATGATAGGTCCCTGGGAATGAGAATCCTTCTATTCTTATATCTTTTGCAAGCAAGAGTTTTAATGCTGGGCAAATAACATCAAAGTTACATGTTATTGAACTTGGTGCCCAACCAGGTTAGCCTCCTCAACTGCTTGATGTTATCGTGGTTATTGTTAGTTGGTATTTGTCTACTGTCTAAAGGCGAGAGATTTTTTTTGCAGGAAAACCATCATTTACAAAAAAGCAGGCAGATCTCTTTTTTCCTCCAGATTTTGCTGATGATTTTCCTGTGGCCATGCAGGTTTGTAGTTTCATTAGATGTTCAATTAACGTCAGTAAGTTTCTTGTGTAAATTTCAGGACACCATCTTTTTTTTCCCTGGCAGGTCTCTCACAAGTTTAACTTGATATATGTCATCACCAAGCTTGGCCTGCTGTTTGTGTATGATCTAGAGACAGCTTCTGCTATCTACAGAAATCGTATAAGTCCGGACCCAATTTTCTTAACGTCCGAAGCTTCCGCAGCTGGGGGTTTCTATGCCATTAATAGGCGAGGACAAGTTCTTTTGGCAACAGTAAATGAGGCCACCATAATACCTTTTATTAGTGGTCAAGTATGTTCAACTTTTTCCTTGTTTTTCTCTATATAATTTATCTATTCAACCTTACATGCTAAGAAATCGATGTTTTTGTATCACAGTTGAACAATTTGGAACTTGCTGTCAATCTTGCTAAGAGAGGAAACCTCCCTGGTGCAGAAAATCTGGTATGTGATATTTATCTTGGATCAGATGTGTGGATATATTTTATTGGTTAAGTAATTATTGTTGTTTAATGCCAATTAGACGAAAAACGGCCACTCTGATAGATATAGAAACAGTAACGTAGAAAATGAGAAATCGATATGTAACGCTCCCTCCGTTTCAATATACAAGTGTCATTTATTTATTTTTTAACATATTCAATCAAATTAAGTAATAATTAAATGTTCTGTTATACAGTATATTATATATCCCGAGAAGAACAATTTCCTCTGGATTTCTATTCTATTTCACATTGTTGTTAATTAATGTTAGATTGAATTAAAATAGATGATTTCATATAAAAGAGTTAGCCTAAAGGGACACTTAATTTGAAACAAAGGGAGTTGCTGATAATGTTGGGATTACGAAAACCTGAGGAATTTGGTGATAAATCTCTTTTACACTCCTAAGACATCTAATACAGAGAGAGAGATAGATCTTAACCTATTTGAACCATTGTTAAAACCCTAGTAACTTTAGAACACTTAGTAAATATTTCATAAGCTCCTTAGACCTCCAAACTCACTGCTTGTATCACATTGTTGATGCAAAGTTTCCTGTATTCAATTGGGATGGTACAGGTTGTCCAGAGGTTCCAAGAGTTATTTGCTCAAACAAAGTACAAGGAGGCTGCTGAGCTTGCTGCAGAATCTCCTCAAGGTATTCTACGGACACCTGACACGGTGGCCAAATTCCAGGTATCTGTTCCATAGTCAAGCAAAGAATCCTCTGTGAACGTGTTGTCTACTATTATATGTTGGTCACAACAATCTGAAACTACAGCATCACACTATACAATTTTGCAGAGTGTTCCTGTACAAGCAGGGCAAACTCCTCCATTGTTACAGTATTTTGGGACCCTTTTGACTAGAGGGAAGCTCAATACATATGAGTCCTTGGAACTATCTCGGCTTGTTGTGAATCAAAACAAGAAGAACCTCTTGGAAAACTGGTTGGCCGAGGATAAGTTAGAATGCAGTGAAGAACTCGGAGACCTTGTCAAGGTAATCTTAAAATGACCATTTAATTTTAAATATCTCCTATATCTCCCTTAGAGTGCTGTAACGGTTATCTTTTCTGTTTCAGACTGTGGATAATGACCTTGCTCTAAAAATATACATCAAAGCTAGGGCAACTCCAAAAGTTGTTGCAGCTTTTGCAGAGCGAAGGGAGTTTGACAAGATACTGATTTATTCAAAGCAGGTAAACAATTAAGTTTTAAAGTTTTCTCCGTTGTTATGTTTACCTTAAAGGTCACTGTGCTCAAGAAGTACCATTGTTTCATCTTATGACTTAGGTTGGGTACACACCTGATTACATGTTTCTTCTGCAAACGATAC